CTTTAGAAAATGTGTGCATACCCAATGGAGCTTTATTCAGCCATAACAAAATAAGAATGACATTATACATTTACAGGGTGACGGATGGAAGTCTAGAGTCTCATGGCAAGCAGTCAGTCAGACTGAGGATGACAGATGTTGCAGTCTAGACTTGTATGTGTGTATACATACATGCACATATATGTCTGTGTGATGTGACAGTCGAAAGGATGGTATTTGAAGGGAAAGGGGACTAGGGAGGAGGATGTGGGGAAAGGCAAAGATAATGGGGTACAAAGTAAAGGACCAATCATGTGCTTAAAAAGTAAAACAAGGAGTGGAACATGTGGCTCAGTTGGTAACATGCTTGCCTAGCATGCACAAAGGCCCGAGGTTCAATCCCTAGTATTGCATACCCTGAGTGTGGTGGCTACACCACAATCCCAGCCCTGGGAGGAGGGAGGCTGGGGAATCAGAAGTGGTCAGAGCTATATAGAGAGTTAGGAGGCTAACGAGACATCCGTGTTACTCAAACAAAATACGCAAACAGGGTTGTTATTGGTACCTTGAATTCTTCCATGGGTTAAGTCTGTGCCTCAGGAGTAGACAAAGGCAGTGTGCTAGAGGAGAGGGTGAATTTGACAGATTGTAGAAGAAAAAGTGGATAGTTAAGGCTAGAGCGTTTGGGGGTTGCTGGTCTTTGGGGGATGTGTGTGTGTGTGTGTGTGTGTGTGTGTGTGTGTGTGTGTGTCCGTGTGCGTGTGCGTGTGCGTGTGCGTGTGCGTGTGCGTGTGTGTGTGTGTGTGTGTGTGTGTGTGTGTGTGTGTGTGATTAGGGTCATTCCCGTCTGTGTGCATTCATACATGCATGTCTGTAATTCCAGCCGTCCTAGGCAGATGCTTATCCCTGGAGCCCACAGTGCGGGGCTACCTTTGAGAGTCTGTGCTTACTTTCCCATGACTAAGAACCAGGAAGAGCGAAGATGGTCATTGCGCAGCTTGTGACAAAGTGGCCTCACTGCTTCCTGTTTCCGTGGGGGAGGGGTGGTAGGGAGAAGCATGTTAGGGATGGCAGTGAATGGGGTCTAGGTGGTGCCCAGAACTGCAGCGCCGGGTTTGCTGTGGAAAACCCTCTCCATACTCTATGGGTAAACCATCGGAGCCAACTGTAGCCGTCAGACGGAGCTGAACTGTATGTAGTGTGGCGAGGAGGCTGCAGCAGCTCCAGGTTAGGGACACACACACAGGCCAGGGAAGCTGGAACTCCCTCCTCCTGCCTTCTGTGTCATTTCTCCTAACCCACTTCCCCAGCCAGTCCTTATTCAGAAACCACAGCCTGTTCTGAAAGCACAATAGAAAATAACTTCTTCAGGCTTCTAGACCAGGACTGCAGAGGGACACCGTTTGAAACTGTGACCTCCTTCATGAAGGGGAGGCCGTTTCTGAGAGGTGGCGGGGGTGTTCTTAGTCTCTTCCCTCACTGACACGTTTACTGTGACCCAAGCCAGGCTGCAGCCCAGGGAGAGGAGAATAGGTTGTGTCCGCCACGGGCAAGGACAGGGACACCTTTCTTTCCTAACCGGGTAGGATGTTTTTCATGACCCTTGTAGGAAATGAAGATGGGTGGAGTGGCCATCCTCATGTGGTGGTCACACATGTAGAGACGGATCCGACAGTGAAATTCCTCGTAGTGTTTACAGCTGAATCTCCAAGTTGGTTCTTTTTTCTTGGGTGGATGCAGATTACTCACTAATAAAGACAAGAAATACATCTGTTTAAAAAGAACTTTCTCTGAAGCATTGTTTACAGAGGGTGACATCCATGTGTTTTCGGTGTCCAGTTCAGGGGTGGATTTTTTGAAATTTTATTTGTTTTTATTTATGTGTATGTGTGTGTGCCTGTGTGGATTCATGTGTACCACATGGGAGCGGGTGCCTGTGGAGGCTAGAAGCGGGTGTTAAGTCTCCAGGAACTGGAGCTGCAGCTGGCTCTGAGATGCCTGATGTTTTAGCTGGGAACTGAACCCAAGTCCCTCAGGACTGCAGCAAGAGCTCTTAACCACCCAAGCCTTCTTCCCAGTCCCCAGTTTAGTCACTTTAGGAGCTGTGGAATCGTCGCCACAGTTCAGTTGGGAGTGTTTCACCTCCCTCAAAAGTTCCGGAATGGAGAGGTTGCTCAGTGACCGACCTCATATCTAGCTCAAGCAGCAAATCATTTGCTCTGTTGTGTGACAGATTAGCATATTCTGAACATCTCAAAAATAAATAGAGTAAAAGACATATTTGCTCATGTCTTCTTTTGCTTAGTGTACTTTGTGGTTATCCGGGTTTTGGCATGTGTCGTATATCATTTTTCATGGCTGAATGGTATTCTGTTGCATAGATTTATGGTCAGCACTCTTACCTGTTTTAAGTAGGGCACAGGAGCCACACCTCGTGTTTCTCTCTCTGATGTCACTCTTTAACACAGTTTGTGATACAAAATAGGCAACCAGTCAACATGATGGGCGGTGGAAAAGGGACCCTTATGTTGCCTGACAAGGTGTGATTTCATTTCAGATCAAAACTATTTGGAAAGGATATTGTGTCTATTGAATATGTGTAGATATTTTTCTTCTCATTTTTTTCCTTTTGGGTGTGTGTATGCATGTGTGAATAGTGTATGTATGTATGTATGTGTACATGCATGTGTATGTATGTAGGATGTGTTTAGGGAAGAGATCAACATTAAGTGTCTCCTTCCTTAGCTCTCCACTGTGTCCATCGCTCTACATTGTCTTTGGTTTTTTTTTGAGACAGTTTCTCTCATTGAATCTGGAGCTCACTAATTATCTAGACCGGCTGACCAGTGAGCCCCCAGGTGTCCTCCTGCCTTAGTAGCCCCTATGCAAGGTTACAGGTGCACCTGTACCCACACCTGGCTTTTAAATGGGCGCTGGGGTTCCAATATCAGATCCTCATGTTTATGGGGCAGACACTTTACCAGCTATAATTCTTAAGTGATACAGTAGAGTAGATGCCTACTAGCAACTACATTATTTTAGGTACTGTTAGCCATCTAGAGTAATAGAATAGGAGAGGGTATGCTTAGGCTCTGTGTCAACACCACACCATGTTTTATAAGGTTGTATGTTTTCCTATCTTCACAGGGTGTGGTTGTGCAGTCCCCCTGGTAGAGATATCAAGACACAGCTGTTTGTGTGCCCAGCCACAGCTGAGCTGTTTCTGCTTGTTGACTGTTGTGACTAACACAGCCACGCTGGTTTCCTGTGGCTGCTGTAACAAATGATGACAGATTCCATGGCTTGAAACAACAGGAGTGTGTTATCTCAAGTTCTGGAGCCCAGAGTTCTGAAATGAAGGTGTGGACTGGTCTGCATGCCCCTGGAGACTCTCAGGAGAGAGTCTATCCCATGATACTGCTGGCTTCCAGTGGTGGCCGGCTGGCTATTCTTGTTGCTAGGTTACAGCAAATCTTGGCGTCCATTCTTTCTCCTTCCCTTCCTTCAGCATGTAGGAAACACCCTAAGATAACTACGTGTCCTCTCTGTTACCTCTTTTGCCGGATAAGGTGGCACCCACAGGTTGAGGGAGATTGGCGTGGATATCTCAGGGGCTACTCTTCTGCCCACTGCGGCCACCATGAACATTGAGATAAGGGTATTGTGTAGTTCTGACGTAGTTTTTCTTCTTTTCGTTGCTCTCCTAGGAGTGAATTTGCTGAGTCGTGTAGTAAATTTACGTCACTTTTAAGAAACTTCCAGTCTAGTTTCTGAAAGGTCTCTTGTTTTGTAATCCTATCGGCCGGGGATTTGAGCTCTTATAACTTCGTAGTCTTGGTAAATGTCTTTTTAAACACAGCGTTCTAGTAGGTGTGAAGAGGCATCTGATGGCGGTTTGTATTTGCATTCCCTCCATGACTAATAGTGCTGAATGTGTTTCATGTGCTTCTTAGTCACTTGTGTGGAGTTATGATAAAGTACCTATGCAAAGCTCTGGCCTGTTCTTCCCCATTTCAGTGGTGAGTTAGTCTGCTGTTTTCTGTGGGACCCTAACATTACCCATCCTAATGTTACTAGGTAACTAGGGTTACTCTGTCCCCAGAGTGTCAAGAGCTGGGCCCTGGTGCCATCCTTGCATTGTGACCTATATCACTCTGTTGTTTGAGATAGATGGCCCTTCATGTGCAGCCTTTTCAACTGGTGAGCGCATGTCAAGGAAATCAAGAGATCACTCTCCTGTGCCCTAAATAAAGACCATAAGCTTAAATGAGTTTCAGATTGGCTGTTGTCTCGTGGACAAGGGGACGGATCCACAGAACTTCTCATTGTATTCTCTGGCCTGGATTCTTCTGTAGTGCAACTTTTAATTAAAGTTATTTCTGGGATTATATATTTGATACCTTTCTTCCTCCCGCTAGACTATTATTTTTTTCTGGGAATAGAGGCTACATCTATGTATTTTATCTGACACAGCATGTGGTATGTGCTAGGCAACCAGTCAGCATGTTGGAGGAAATACAGCTCATGTTTTCTGCTTTATATAGAGAGGATCACATGAAATCATTCAGCAGAGGATGACTTGTTAAATACTGTGATGGCTAGTGTTGATTGTCAAGTTAACAGACCTGGAAAGAGGGGACCTCAGCTGACGAATTCCCTTCATTTGATTGGTCTGTAAGCTTGTCTTTGGGGCATTTTCTTAACTATTGGTTGATGGAAGGTAGCCCAGCACACTGTGGGCAGTGCCATCCCTAGGCAGGTGGGACTGATAAGAAAAGTAGCTGAGCAAGCCAGAGAATGAAAGCAGTAAGCAATGTTCCTTCCTGGCTTCTGCCTCAGTTCCTGCTTCCAGCTTCCTGTCTTGAGCTCCTGCCGTGGGTTCTCTAGATGACCAGTTGTGAACCTGGTCAGTATCTTATCACAGCAACAGAGAAGTGAACTAGAACAGATATACCAGTTACTAACTTTTGCATGTGCCATTTTACAGCATATTTCCTAATCCCCTCTCCTCTCATTCACAGCAATCTATAACTACAACGCGTCTCAAGATGTGGAACTCTCCTTGCAGATCGGTGACACCGTCCACATCCTGGAGATGTATGAGGGTGAGTGCAATGGCCTCCTGCTGGGCGGGGCCCAGGAAGAGTCTATAGGAATTACTTATTAATAAAGCACTTAGCGTTAAGGCCCATGTGCTCTACTCCTCCTGCTGCAGTAGTGAAAACCTAGGAAGTACCCAAAGTGATACAGCTCCACACTGAGGGTTTTTTCAACACAGCCTGCTCATGGGAATATGGATACGCCTAGACACCAGAGTCAAGGTTTTTGCCACTGGATGCAGAAGGGTTCAGTTGCAGAGTTGGCTAGGTGAGATATACACGGGACATCCGGCTTGTGGGAGCTGGAAGGAAGCATTGCTATTTAGGGCTGAATCTCTTTCTACTCAGTGCCCAGCATTGCCAGACTGGGGGAGAATGAGAGTGAGGCTTTGTGATGGTACCAAGCCTCTGAGAGAACTGGGTCAGAACTGTAACAGCAGGTCCTACCTGTGTTTGTCTGTTTCCTCCAGCTAGCTCAGGCCTGGGCAGGGGTTCTGGTTAACCTGGGCAATATTTAAGATTGTGTGTGCAAAGCCCAGATGATGCGTGCATCCACCCATTCCACCCTAGGAGACCTCCAGGAATGTTACATCTCTAGTCCCAAACTCCAGGGCAACAAAAGCATAACTAAGCCACCGAGGTTGAGGAGCAAAACAGAGGACAGACTTTTGGGCCCAGTTTATCATAACCTCGTGAAAGTTGGGGTGAGGAGTTGGTGGGAAGCTAGGTAGATTTTTCTTAGAACAAAGCTTGTTGGTACTGACACTCTGCATTGGTAAATTCTGGGACAGTGGAATGGCAAAAGTACCCTCTAGGAGCCTGTGTGGATCTCTAGGTTAAGACAGGATGATACAAGAAGGGGAAGAGATGGAAAGCCTGGGGGACAGGAAGCAAGATTTGGTCATAATTAAGCTGGGTCATCTACCTGCTTGCATGGGGGACTGCTGTGATGGCTTCATCCATTAAAGCTGGGTCTTTGCATTTCTCTTTTCCTCTCATACCATCCCATTGTAGCTGGTTGGCTTCCAGGGGCAGCATGTAGACAGAGAGGACCGTGTGGACTCTCCATCCATGCTCCTTCTTTTACTGTCACCCTTACCAAACTAAGGCCTCGCCAGGCATCGGTTCTAACATCCCACTACACTCATAATACCTGACATACGTATCTTAGGACTCTTGCTTCTGGAAACCACAGTTCCCTCACACCCCACTAGGTCAGTCCTTTGCCAGGGGGGCAGATATATATATACACACATATACTCTGGTCCCTGTGGACATACTTTCCCATTGTGCAGGTTAAAAGCACGTGTTCAACTTTTGTAACTTCTATGTGGGCTTGAAGAAATGTACGTTTAAGGATCATTGAGTATTCAGTTCCATACAGGACATTTGGACAGATTTTATACCCAGTTTTTCAATCTGCTATATGCTAACTTTTTCTCTGCTTTTTTGGTTACTGTGTTGAGTTTTTCACCATGATTGTAGTTTCTGGCTCTACAGAAATGGGAGTTTTTTGCTTTATGTAGTCTCAAACCTGTTTTTAGAATATATATGCCTACCATTTTAGAACTGTGCTAAACAACTCTATCCAACTCCTGCTTATTAAGCCTTTTAACTGTTTTTATCCACGGTAGTGCTTTATGCTTTACTGAAATTACAGCCAACTCATTGTGAGGCCCAGCTCTCTAATTCTTGTCCTGGTGGCCCCATAAGGCCCTTTAAAATGCTACTTTAAGCCATTCAGACATCCTTTCTTACATCAGCAAATGCCCCAGGCAAGACGCTGCCACAAGTACTAGGCTGGTCTCTTTGGGGTTTGTCTTTCTGCAGATTTTGGCATGGAAATTCTTCTTTTGTCTCCAGTATGTTCTCTGTCTCTTTCTCCCCCCTGCCCCCCTCTCTCTCTGAGAAAGTGTGTGTGTGTGTGTGTGTGTGTGTGTGTGTGTGTGTGTGTGTGTGTGTGTTTCGGTGGGGGAAGGGGTGCTTCATAACTGCCTTATGGAGTGCATCAGAGAAAAATAGAGTATTGATGTTGATCTGACATAAAGTTAACAACATCCCTGAAATGCATTCTTAAGATTGTTTCCTCAAAAAAGGTTGGTTTTTTAAATTTTTATGTGGCTCTAATATATTTTTGTGGTAGTTATTTGAAGCATGCTGTCCTCATAGAATACATATTAGTGTGTTTTGAGTGTGTCCACTCTTATACTTTGTCTGGTGGTCTCACTGAGAACTGATCTTGGTTCAATATGCAGGTTGAACTTTTCTTACCCAGCGTACTCGGGACTGCAAGTGCTTATGATTTCAGATGGTTGGGGATTTTGGAATATGCATAGTGAAATATTTAGGGAATAGCACCTAGTTGTAAATTCATCTTGTTTTTCTTATATGTCTTATGCACATAGCCTGAAGATAATTGTATGCAGTATTTTAGATAATTTCATCATGGTGTGTCATCCACCTGTGATATCATGTCAGTGCTTAGAAAAAGTTGAGTCTTGGAGCATTTTGGATTTTGGAGTTTTGGATTGGGGATGTCCATATTGTATTTGATATAAATACAGACACAGAAATCTCATCCGCTTCTAATCCCATATGATTGAGTTCCCAAGATCTCCATCCATGGTTCTTTTAGGATATCGCTGATCAGACACAGTGTGATTGCAGGGAGTGCTGGCCCATTGACCATCATACAGAAAACCTCACCAATACTGTGCTTTGGGCATGATCAGGAGCTGTCCACCCAGCCAGCAAGGAAACAGTTTTCTTGTAATTGTTTCCATAGAGTGTTTGTGTGTCACTCTTAGAATTCAAGGCTCTCAGAGAAGGATGCCACCCCCTGTGTTTTCAGAGTGGGCTCATGTCCTGGTGTGTGCAGAGAAACATATACAGACAGAGTTCATAACCTCCAAGTGGCATGTTAGTTCCGCACAGATTATTACATCGGATTATAGTTTTCCAATAGTGTTTCTTTTATGGGATTCATTTTGAAGTAGTGCCTGCCTTGCCCAGCACTCAGGGGGAGGCTCTTGTATCTGCTCAGTACTTTGAGTTCTTGGCGCAAGGCTTGAATTCCTCTATTATTTCAGGCCGTTGAGGACTGGGAGCAGGAGTGCTTTGCAAACACAAGACCTGCATGAAATGCTGAGTAATGACTTGTGTTCATTGCTCCACTCCCTGCTCCTGTCTTCCTTTAAAACAAATAAACAAAGTGGAAACACCCATGATACTGCCGGAGAGAATGCCAGGGTAAGGCTGGCACCATTTCTTGGCCTCCAGGGTTTTATGTCTTGAAACTTCCTGTTGGTGACTCGGGGACTCTCCCTCAGCACATTCTGCCCCACCCCACCTTTGGGACAAGCATGCCTGATCTGTGCGTGCTGTTCTGGCATGGACCCCAGTCCTCCCAGACAATTTTTTTTTTAAGTGTTTTCAGCCCACAACCCACAACAGAATACCACTGAGGACTCTGGCTGCTTCCTGCCCTGTGGTTCAATGAGTGATTCCCCAAGAGCAATGACTGCTTGGAGGTACAGCTGGCTCCTGCTCAATCTCCAGGTGCCCACCATAGCTTCTGACGTGCAATAGGCCCTCAGCAAAAGTCTGGAATGAGTGCAGGTGAAATAAGAGACCGTGATGAGCTGGGAAGCACCCACCAATCTCTTGCCCTCTGCAGCCCACACAAGGATTTGGTTATTGCATATGTTTTTGCTTTAACAGCAGCTTTATTAAGATATAACTCAAATGCCACACAGCTTACTCACACAGTCTATGATTCTGTGGTTATTTACTAAGTATATGGAGTTGGGTAACTGTCAATCACTGTCTGCTTTCATTACCCCCAATTCTACCACTTATCAGCCATTCCCCTGACTCTAGGCAAATGCATACCTGTTTTCTGCTTCTGTGAGTTTATTTATTCTAGACTTTTTTAGTAGTGCAGCCAAACAGTGTCTGGTGCTTTGTGGCAGGCTTCTTGAGATTAGTGTTTTCAGGATTCATGAATACTCCAGCATGGACTAATACTTCATTGCCTTTTCTTTCAGTTAGCATTCCTTGCATGGACATAACCACAGTTCATCCATGCATCCTCAGACAGATGTTGGAGCTGTCTAGATCTTTCAACCATAATGCTGCTCTAAACTTCACAGACCAGTTTTGTGTGGATATGTTTTTATTTCTCATAGGTAGACCCCAGGAAGTATGACTGCTCTGTTGTCATATGGTAACTCCATGTTTAAATGCTTGAGAAACTTCTAGATGGCTGAATCTTTGACTTAAAGCCAGAAGACCTCAGTCTTTAAAGAGAGAGCTGCTCTTACTTGTCCTTTGTATCTCATAACCGCCCCCTCCAATTTAATTTGTTAAAGAAGAAAGAAGGAAGTGAGTTGCTAGAGAGGCTGTGTACGGCTTCTTTGTAGTTCTCTAGAGCTGTTTGCCTTTAGAGACTGTAAGAGAAGAGAACTCCTTTAGTCCTGAAGCAGATTCCCTTGGCACTGATCTGCCTGGGGTTGGTGCTCTTTCTTTGCTCCCTTAAAGCCTGGAAGGTATTTGGCAATGAGACATCCATCCACCACCCCCAACCCCCGAATGTTCTTTCCTGCTCCAGACCCACGAGCATGTGGACAGAGACACCGGGCACTTCAGCTACAGTCACCTTGTTTTTCAGCCATACCTGCTTCCCACCTACCCTGTGCCCAGTGCATTAAGCACAGAAGATGTTCTAACTCTGGTCCAAGGAGTGATAAAACAGCCAGGTAAACTCTCATAGGGTTTACCTAGAAAGACAAGACAAGAAAGTAAGTAAACAAACAAATATCCAGACACTATGGGGAGAAGAGGACACTACTGCTGCTGAGACTATTGAGGGTAGAGACAGATGGCGGACTACGTTAGGTTAGGTGGCTCACTCCTGTCTCAGCTAACTATCCCCAAACAAGGTGCTTCAGCTCTCTTGGTGTTATGAATGCTCCATTTAAATTTGGGTCGCTCATTGACTTAGAAAT